GTTTCTGTAGGTTGTTTAGATGTGACTATGTTAGGTTTCTGTCGGTTGTTTGTGTGTGACTATGTTAAGTTTTCTGTAGGTTGTTTGGATGAGACTATGTTAGGTTTCTGTAGGTTGTTTAGATGTGACTATGTTAATTTTTCTGTAGGTTGTTTGGATGTGACTATGTTAAGTTTTCTGTAGGTTGTTTGGATGAGACTATGTTAAGCGTGTTGAAGGCTTTTCAAAATGTTGTGTTAGATCACTCAGTATTTATTATGATTATATTTAGATGTTGTTTGTAAATTTCACTTTTTTTTTACTCACAGTGCTAACGAGTACACAGCCACATTTGGGTCCAACAGCTTTGACGGGAATTTCACGCAGTACATTCACGACTTGTTCAAGCCTGGAATCAAGTCTTGTATATTAGATGGAGAAATGCTGGGATACCATGCTGAAACTAAGACTTATGGTTTGTGTTTTACTCTTATTTTATACCCAGTGTAATATGCAGTGTAATAACACCATCACATAAATTTTGATTTGTAAAGTGTGTAATACATGTACTATCGATTCCATCTGACTTTTGTGAGAGTCTCTGAAGTTGTTTCATATTCTGAAAACATATTATTTTAGAGCACTGAAATTTTAGTGTGTTATCAAACTTCAACTGATTAGCGTATTGATGAAATGGTGCACTCACAATATATGCAATAGAAAACAAAACCAGGAACTTTAATCAGAACAATCATGATTTAGGGCAAAATTTAAAGCTTGAAAAGCTCGAAAATAAGACTACCTCTAAAATATGTACATCTACAGTAAATCATGTAAGAATTATCTGAGACCTTTTTGCCCTTTTATCTATATAACAGTATAGAAATATTAATTTTCTATAGCTTGACGACTTTAGCCTACAATATTACCTAGATTGCATTAATTAAAGTTACCTCAACAGTTTAATGATGTTGAATTTTGAGAAATTTTATATCTTGATCAGCATAGCCTCATATAAATCATACAGGTGTGATTATTTCATACTTACCCCCAGTATTTCATGTGGTATACTAGTGTACTATAGAAGTTGTTCCATTACATTAACTATTGTTGAATTTCCATAAACCCCCAGAAAGTTATTCAATTAAAAAAGTTAATATATTAAATGTTATGAAAGTGTTAGCACTGTAGATCACTTACATGTGACGTGATATTTTCTTGTACAACTATGATAGACATGGGTCACAAATTCAGGTAGTGTATGCGAGTTATTTATATGTACTGTAAAACCTACTTTTATGAAATATGAATTTAAAACTTCAGAAATAAGTAGAGAAAGATTTGTGAAAATATACATAATTCATGCAAGAAATACTGTATAAGTCAAGTACAGTATCCCAAATTTGTAGGGATACAAAAAAACTTTTTTTTTGAAGTTTATTGTATCAATATACACCTACTGACACTATATTCTGAAAAAGTGTTTCAACATTTTCATTAAGCTACCAAGGCCATGAACACAGACATCAAACGACAACAACAGGAAGGGTATCAGCCATGCTATAACATATTTGATATCGTGGTACTCAATGACAAAGTGCTCACCAACAAGCCCCTGAGGGAGCGACTTCAGCTGCTGGAGACGGTGATCGACCCCGAGGAGGGGCGCATTCAGATCAGCAAGCACACTGAGGCCAACACAAAGTTAGTAACTGTTATACTGGTAGAGCAAACCTGGTCTTCATTTTACTGAGGCTGAAAAAATTAAAACATTCCCTCACTTTCATCGAATGTAAGTTGAATTGTAAGCCATAAAACCTGTTTATTACCATGTGCTTAGATTTCTGAAAAATATCTGAAGAAACAAATATATTGACATTTGCCAAAATGTTAAAATGGAAGAAGTCTTCTGATTTCAGAGTGTATAACCAAAGCTGGACTATACCTAAATTAATTTAGCTTGTTGTAAGACTTACTGATTGAAATACAGATGGGCTTTCAGTGGAAACATAGTTTAAACAAGAACAAGTGTAAATCTACTTAATAAATGTAGAACTCTTCATTGTTTACTATAGTCAGGAGTGTGCTGACGCCTTGAACAAAGCTATAGACGGCAGAGAGGAGGGGATAATGGTAAAGAACCCTGACTCAGTCTACAGACCCAACACCAGGAAGGGTGGGTGGATCAAGATTAAACCGGAGTACGTGGGGGGTCTGATGGACGAGCTTGATGTTGTAGTGGTGGGTGGGTACCTGGGTGTCGGCCACCGTGGCGGGATGATGTCACACTTCCTCTGTGCTGTGGCAGTCCCTGTGGATGACGGAGAAAAACCTGAAGTGTTCCATTCCTTCTGTAAGGTAAAGTCTACCACTATCATCGTCAATATAGTGGCAAATTCTACCACTGCCATTGTCTATATAATGGTAAAGTCTACCAATGTCATTGTCTATATAGTGGTAAAGTCTAACTCTGCCATTGTCTATATAGTGGTAAAGTCTAGCGCTGTCATTGTCTTTAAAGAAATCTGTAGTTACCATACCGGTAACTAACTTATACTTCTAAATGTATGTTTTTCTTTTAATTTGCAAGGAAAGTTAATGACTCAATCAGATATTCAAAGATTGTTCTTTTCACAAAGTTAAATCCTTGCTAGAAGTTTAACCCATTTGAAGGAAAATGGGAAAAAAGAACATGTAAAAATAAAGGGAAATCTGCAATAAATTAAAGAGATTTTAATTCCTGGTAAATAAAATATTGAATTCTCAACATATTTTCACTTTATGTGAAACAAATCTTTTTTTGTGTGTTCACAATGAAGTGTGTATTGTTGAGTAAGTTTAAGACATAGATGAAGCGTCGAATTTTTCCAAATCATTGTATATCTTCATGAAAAATGATATACAAAAAAATGTATTGAATTGGTTTCATAGGTTGGATCTGGATATTCTAAAAAAGAGCTAGGGGAAGTTAATGAGAAGTTGAAGGATCATTGGAAGGCGTTTGACAAGAGGAACCCTCCGACCTCCATCATTCTGGCCTCTGGCTTCAAGGAGAAGCCAGACGCTTGGATAGAGCCTAGTAACTCGGTTATTGTCCAGGTAAACAAATTTTATTACTTCCTGTCCTTTACCCATGGGGATCAAAAGCTATATAAAGGGGCCTGCCTCGGGGGCTCTCTTACATAGCTACTTGGCAGATTTCAACAACTTGATTTCTAAAAGTGTTGTGTGAGCAATTCAAGGCTCCTTGGACCTGTTGTCCTTATTGTATTTTATACAGGATCATCCTTAGTATGTGTTTATGATTAGAGAAGATTGAATGTCACTGTAATCTATGTTTTGTGACCTTAATCATGGTATAATTGTTTATAGAGCACTTCTCCTATACTACTATAATTTCCTCAACACTTCACCATGATAACAACTTAGTAAAAAATTGCGGAAAGTCATACTGATTTAGTCTATAAGTATTTGCCTCAAAATATTCCTTTTAGGAAAAGTAGACAAGAGATCAATATCCAGGTCACTGGGAATCCATTACCATGCACTCGGTAGTTGACATGGTTGTACAGTTGCATGAGTCTATTTGAAAGCTGAATGACTATTTCACCTCTGACCTATGTTCAAAGTACTTTAAATGGTTCCCCAAACTGTTCTATAGCTGATGGAAAATCGATACTATGTCCGATAGAATGATATGTTGATTGATTGTTCTGATTGGTCTTTTCCATCTCCCGTAGGTCAAGGTCAATTATATGAGGAAATTTGTAGCACACTATCCCAGGTACCCATTGGCTAAATATCAGGAAATTAGGCTTCATGGATCTTAAGAAGAAGCTTTTTAAAGCAGTTTATACATTCATGAACTACTCTGCACTTGCAGAAAAAAATCAGTATTACGTCCTTCACAATATTACACTGACGGATGGTTCTGATTAGTGTTGCGTATTGCTGTGAGATTTAAATATGAAGAAATTTTGGAGATAATGGATTCCATTTCATGATAAGAGGATTCAGTTGTTTTCTTTTTCTGTCCTAGATAAAAGCAGCAGAGATCATTGACAGTGACCGGTTTAAAACAAATTGTACCCTGAGGTTTCCTCGGGTCGAGTGTTTCCGTGACGACAAGGCCTGGCATGATTGTATGACTGTCACAGACATTTTGGAACTGAAGGAGGTTTGTGACCTGTTAATTTTCAGTGCATATTTTGCATGGATACAGTCAGTCATTGTTTGTTTAAGAAATAATCAACAGTGACAGCCTGGGTTAATTACTTTATCTACATTTTTTTAATCGTGAGTTACATATCCCACATAATACAACCTCACTCACAAAAGCTAATTTGTCCCAAGACAAGTCCCACAGAGCTCCCTTGTTTACATGAAACACATGAGAGGTTTTAGAAATACTGTTGCATGTGCATGGGATTTTGGAAAATATAGCCTGCATGGGCACAGGTTATTGCTAAAGTGATAGAATTGTTCATAATTCAGGGGTCAAATAATTAAAACATGAGCAAAATAAAACCACTCTGCTGTAGTTTTTGCAGTAGTTTTTGTGGAAAATACAGCATTGTTATAAATTTCCCCCAATTCTCAAACAATTAGCAAATGCTTTGTATACATCAGTGTTCATACAATTTTTGAGGTAAATTATTTATATGAAATTATTTTCAATGCTATGAAGTAAATTCCTTCTTTTGATAATGAAATCTTAAATTTTGACCAGTTCTTTTGTAAGATATTTTATTGTCTCCTCAGATGAATTTATATTTTTAACAATTTGAAATATATCTTACAGTATATGCAGATTATGTATTCACTTCTCCTGACTCTGTTTTATTTTACACTGTAGAAGTCTGGAGGTAAATTAGCGGGTGGTAAGGTGGAGCTTGCGGAAGGAGAGGAACCAGTAAAGAAGAAAAGAAAGATTGTTAGTCGAGTGGTTCGCCCGACCCTTGGAGCTCAGTTTATGGGAGCCGACCTCACGTCTGTCACACAGGTAATTCAGTGTCACACTGTGAGATAAATAAATGGTGAATGTGAATCGAAGAGTTTATTAAAAACTTGTAACATGTACTCAATTTAACATATACATATCTAGGAGGCGTTTTACAATATTGAAACTTGATATACAACTCTACTAGATGTGATCCACCCTGCAATTGCAAAATGTTCTGTTGTTAATTTTTTTCGGTGAGAACTCAAAGTATACGGGTGTAGATGAATGAACCTATTAATGCACCTTGGTATATGTACGGTATGCAACAGCCTTGCTAATATGAAAATAGTCAAAACATGACCAATTTCACATTTGAAAATTTACAATTTTACAGAACAGTAGTGTTTTAAGTTCACCTGGTCTCAAGTGACAGAACATATAGAAAAAACCTCTTATTGCTGAATTTCATTTTACTGTAAATAACTATGATAATTACAAATAAATTGGTTTTATAACTTTGAACTATAAATTGTTTTGTGATGCTCATTTCTTAATTCTGTTAAGAGATGTGAAATCACTTGACCACAGGCTAGTAATATCTGTTTATTATGTAACTTTCAGGTATCAAAGATGTTGGAGGGAAAAGAGTTTTGTGTGATTAATGGCCCATCGTCATTTCCAAAGCATGCCATAGAAACAAAAATTGTAGAATTTGGTGGCAAAATAGTTCAAAATCCAGGTAACTGTTCTTTGTATTTATTGTAAACTTTGATAAATTTCTGGTTTCTTTTACTTCAAATTAATTGATCCTTGATTCTTAGCTGTAGTGTTGACATAATTTGCTAATTTATGAATATTGATTGATTTTAAAGAGCTTTAGAATAATTTTACAAATTAAATAGGGTGCTATATAAATGTTGTATATTATTATTATTATTATTTAGGTTTATTGCAAAATATACTCAATAGTTTGTCATTAGTCTTTAATTGATAGAGAAAAAAACAATGATTCTTAATAATAGTACAATCAAATCCTCTCACACGAGCACTGCTAAGAAACCAATTTTAATGTTCCCCATGGTGGTGTTTTCATTCTGAACTAAACCAGTATTAACAGACCACCTGTGTTAAAAGACCACCTGTGTTAAAAGACCACCTGTGTTAAGAAACCACTTTTAATGATCCCCACGGTGGTGTTTTCATTATCAATTGAACCTGTATCAAGAGACCACCTGTGTTAAGTGATCACCTGTGTTAAGAGATTTCTTTATTTTACTTACCGAGGGCAGTCTCTTAACACAGGTTTCAATGTACTTCCTTTTTATGGAAAACTGAACTTTGCAATCTAAACCTCTTGATTTCACCTGATTACTGATAATAAAACCTGGTACAAGTCATAGCTAAATAATTTGATCTTAATTTAAACGACATACTCATAAAAGTTTAAACGACACATTCATAAAAGTAGAAAACACACACTAATTCTTAAGAGTGGTTATGTGAAATTAAGAGAAATCAATTCCCATATGGTACCAGGTTATTAGAAAATGGTTTGTTCAGTAAGTCTTGTTAACCCTAATTTATATGGTTCTGAAATTCATTTTCTATGTGAAAATAAACTTATATTACTTATCTTTGTGATCAATCTTAGTTAAGTTTGACAAAATTGTCTGGATATTTGAGATAATACTGACTTAAACAAGGCGCAGCTGTGGTTGGATGAAGTGTAGTTGTACTTGTGTTCTGTTTTACTTATCATCTTATTTGTGTGCTGCTCCAGGTCCGTCCACGTTCTGTGTCCTGGCAGACAAGGTGGCTGTCCGCGTCACAAACCTCATCAAACGGGACATGTACGATGTTGTTAAGGTGTCGTGGTTCCAGCGTTGTGTGGATGCCAGCCGATGGTTACCATGGTAATTACATTCAAACCCTGTGATGGCACTTCCTGTTGTATAAAAACCTTGGTAGTGTTAAGCGATGCTGCATTGCAGGAAATACACTCAAGCATATTTTTCTAATGTTTTACCATAAATACTGTTTTACTTGATACAAACTTTTGTGGTGAACTGGAATGGGTAAACTTGAATCTCATGAAATTTATACTTATCACTGTTCTATGTTCTGTTATATATAAGGTCAAAAATTGTGAACTAGTATACAATGTTAAATTTTATATGGTACATCTGTATCAGTGTACATCATTGTATTATATGTATTTAATCTGTTGGACTAGCTTACTCGGGTGACCATTCAGAGACACTCCAGTATCTGCTATATATCTATAATCTTCTATAACAATTTCCACCTAATAAAACCTTTTCCCCATGCATTTTTTTGTAATTGTTGGTTTCAGACAGATTTTAGTCCTTTAACCCAGGGCTGTTTTCGTTTAAACAGTTGAACCGGTCGGACCACAGTTGTTTGTTTATTAAATACGGTTGGACCTAGTAATATGATGCTGCTTTCAGGCGATCCTTGCCAGGATTTATACCTGAAATTATTACATTTAAAAATGGACAAATTGGTTGTTCCGCATAAACGAACAGGCCCCTGTATAGGGCCCCTCATCTGAGATGTGAGTGCCCTATAGTAATCACGGTGTCTGTCCTTTCGTCAACACTTTCGTTTCCAGAGATAATCCTTATCTTGGAATCCAAAAGTCTAATCTTTTTGAAATATTTACATGGTGATACATTGTGATATGAAGATGTGCAATAGTGGTTTAAACAGTTTTTAGGGTCAAGGTGTCCTTACTGACATGTCAGTGTTCTAGTTGTTTTGGTATTAATATTAGCTCACATCTCTTTGTGCCCTTATACATGTGTTCATTACTACTGGAGGTTACTTCTCTGTCAACGAAATTACCTTATTTCTATAATTCTCCTAAGGTCCCCAGCTGATATGATTCACACGTCACCCAAGACCCAGCTGGATTTCCAGAAGCAATATGATGAGTTTGGGGACAGCTATGTAGATCCGACCAGTCCTGAACAACTGAAGACTGTGTTTAGTAGAATATCTAAGGTAATGTTGACGCCAATGCAATGGTCCAGCCAACTACAGACTGTGTTTGACAGAATAACTACCATTATGTAGACTTGGTCCAGGCCATTGTGTAGTATATCTAAGGTAGTGTAAACTCCAATGGTCCAGCCAACTACAGACTGTGTTTGACAGAATAACTACCATTATGTAGACTTGGTCCAGGTCATTGTGTAGTTTAACTAAGGTAGTGTAAACTTCAATGGTCCAGCCAACTACAGACAGTGTTTAATAGAATAACTTTGGTAGACTAGTCTGGACTGTTTGTAGAATAATTATGGTATTCAGGTAATGTAGACTCTAATGTTCAACTACATATCATTGTTTGGTAGAATTATAGACAGGTATGGGTATAAGAATTTCCCCCCCACGCATTAGCGGTTGCTGATCTGTAGACATCAATTTTAAATTTATTTGAGTAGTCTATTTAAATCTCATAAATCTTTGAAGGTTAAAATGCACATAACCATTGAAATCTTCAATCAGAGAGTTGTGATCCTAGTCAAGTTGTAACTTAACAGAACAGGGTTCAGCATGGGCTATTTTTTTTTTATTTGTAAAATACTTGTAATAAAAATAAAATAAAAAAGTCATTGAATATGGCCAAATTCAACATATTGATTACGAATTAGGGATTGTTCCGTACCTGCAGGTATATCTGTAGCGTAATGTGATTGTATATCCTGTAACTCAGTCTTAACTTTAAACATTTTATAGTTGTCATTGACAATTTAAATTTTTGTTAAAATGTTTTGTATACAAATTTGTAAATTATTATTCCTACAGGTTGAAAATGGGATGACAGATGCCCTGGACATAGCTGAGATAGAGCAGGCGTACTTCCCCGATGATTCTCCGTATGGAATGTTCCGTACCTGCAGGTATATCTATAGCGTAATGTAGTTGTTTATCATGTTACTCAGTCTTATACTTTTGTACAATAATCATGTTTATAACAATGCTATAATACATTCTAACATAATTCATTTGCAACACGTGTTTTGATTGGAAAAGGACCATGTTCAAATCTGCGATAGAATCATCATCAATTGTGTTAAGTTCTACCCATCCCACTTATAATTAAGCCACGCCCCATTTCTAACCATAACAAAATGGCGTCAAGCTCACCGCTGATAAGGCTACCAGGCACCAGAACAGAAACGACCGATGAACTGTACTTGTTGAATAAATTAAAAAATAAATAGTAAATACTCCTTGTTCTTACCTCCATTTATTACTGAAACGTTCATTCCATTCGTGTGTATGCATCTAGTTAGATCCAATATCAAATGAAACATTTCACATGTGTCGTGTGAATTTTGCACAAAACTCTTCCCATATCTAAACAAATAATTACCGATTTTGTCGAAACGCACAGATTGGCATGCATACTGGCATGGAAATGTAAGAATTTGACCAAATGTGTCGTATAAACTTTGGTAACAGGACGTTCATGAACAGCAGAATAACTATATATAGAATCTGTGGAACTCCCTACCTTAGGGAAATCCTTAACTGTAGTGTTTCCATTGGAAAACATTGCTGATTCGAAGTAAGATGTCTTTACTGATTTAAAGCAAGATTTCCTAACTGGAACTTAAGATTTTTCATTAACTTAATTATGCTGTCAAATAGAAAATTTCAAGTTGAGGATATTCCTTTAGCTAAGTAAAGCTCGTGAAACTTGAGTCTATGGTATCCCAGAAGACATGCTACATTGAATCTATCCTACTGTCAATCCAATTTTATAAGGTTTCTGAATTATAAGATTGTAAATGAAACATCTGATGTTAAGTAAACTTTGATTTAAATAAAAAATATCTATTTAGATGAAGTTCAGATGTACTTCTCTTTGTGTGGTCATTGTTGATGTTTATGTATACATTTATATCGTAGAAACAAAAGGTGTGTGCAATGTTTGTTTTGTAGGTTTTACATGGATGACAGTCTAGTCATTGATGACAAATCCACGAAATCAAAAAATTCCTTCCTGGACTTCCTGGCCCTGGAGTTACGGTTCTTTGGTGGTGCCATTGCTGAAGAGATCGACCCTGCTGTTTCTCATGTTATGATGGACAACAGGTAGCAATGTGGCTCTGAGTAGCATTTATTGAATTTTGTTGTCTATGCTTCATTAGTCAGTTTTGATTCATAACAACCAGAAAATTTACATAAATCTTTAAAAATTATAATATTGAAACGAAGGAGGAACCATGATTGATAAATATTTGATGTCAATTATTATCTGAGAAAGTGGAATTAACTGTGATACAAACATTTTATACATACATTTCAGTGACCTTAGTCGGCTGGAGGAAATAAAGGAAATGAGGAGACAGAGGAGGAAGAAGTTTCACATTGTCACTAGATTCTGGGTCAGAGAATGTATGCAGGAGGGAACCCTAGTGTCAGAACGCAGATTTGAACCATCCTAAAATGGAGCCAATTATGGTCACCTTTTACATGTCTGGAAAAAAGCCATTTCGTTGACATGTAGGATGAGGATCAAGAGCAAGTCATTTCTTGTTAACCCTTTCACCCCTATGTGACTTTAGTAGACTCTACCATGCATTAATCTGGATGAGTCCATTATGGTCTACAGTGGTGAAAGGGTTGATATGTGATTAATTTTTATCTTTTGTGTCACACTGTATATTATCAAGAGCCATAGTCTCGGGGGAATGTTTCATCTATACCAGAGTGATCTTTAAATTTTAGCAAAACATCTTTGACCCGGTTTATCCCTGTCTGGGACATATTATTACAATATCTTTCCAATTCAAATAGTATATCAGTAAAAGGAGTATGGCATTCTATTTCTCATACTGCATTGATAGCAGGGGGAATAACTCTTAACCTAAGCTTAGGCAGCTACAGTTAATTAATGTGGTGTAGAAGCTCTCCCTGATGTTGTATGGTTTATATGTATCATACATACATACATATGAATGAATGAATCATGTGATATATTTGTAGCAAATAAAAATTGAAATATATTCATAATGTTTGATTTCTATTCAAAGATTAAGGTAACACATGTATACCGGATGAAACGGTTCAGGTGACGTGAAATACTCCATGATAAACGAACGCACTTGGACCGTACTGTAGGCAGAGATGAAATATGCACAGTTTCGGAGAATAAATAACAATATATCAAGAATAACATGTCCTTCTTTCACGCATCCTCTAAATCTACTCCAACAGTGTTAGAGGTTTACACGGAGAGAGACTTTTGACAGGCGTCGCGTTGCAGGCGGCAAAATCATATCCGATAAAAAAGGCTGACCAGCGGCCTCTTATGTTATAGGAGTACCACTAAATCATATAACATAGCTTAAAATCTACATGTAGATTGATCTTGTTTTATGAATAACCCAAAATCAGCAATAGTCAGCACTTTAGTTTCGGTCTGGCCCCCTCAATCTACACCCGTGGAATATTCCTGAGGTTAGCCTTGGTTCAGTCTGGCCCCCTCAATCTACACCTGTGGAATATTCCTGAGGTCAGCCTTGGTTCAGTCTGGCCCCCTCAATCTACACGCGCGGAATATTCCTGAGGTCAGCCTTGGTTCAGTCTGGCCCCCTCAATCTACATACGCGGAATATTCCCGAGGTCAGCTTTGGTTCAGATCTGAGCCTGTTGTTTTCTTTTAGGTTCAATCATTTCAACTGGTAGAACCGGATACGCCAATGGGGCCTAAATCTCAGTAATTGTGATCACTACTATACACAGCAAGAACAAGAACAGCACATCATTTTGTGTTCTTAAGATCTCTTATCTAATATAACGAGTGTGTTTCGATTTTAAAATATGCAGCTCTTTGCCTAAAATATGGACTCTACAAACCTGTTAACTAATAATATACCCCAAAATGGTTATTAAGACTTTGTAAATTCATTGGTGACATGTACACAAGATTGAATGGTGGTTGGGTGGCGCAGTTGATAGCGCACTCAGCCAAGGTTTGATTCCCTAAGCAGACATGAAAAGGTACGGGGTCACCTGCCTGTCCATGTGGGTTTTCTTCAAACACTCTGGTTTCCTCCCACATTAAGACTCCCGGGAGCATGCTAACATCTCGGCGAAAAAGAGTGATTAATATAAGTTGATATAATTTGTTTCATAATTGTGGTAAAAGAAAGATGTTATCGTAATGTACGTGTTGATCCTGTTATGACTGGCATTAGTCCTTTTGGATGTACTTTTGTAAGGAGATCACTCTGCCTTTTGTGGTAACCACATTAGATTATTTTTGCAAATTCTTGATGAAATAAAACAAGGCAGAAGAAAAGAACTAGATAGAAATTGCACACTTTATTTCTAAATTTCAAACCTATAACTTTATCACAGCTGTACTTGTACATAATCCTGTGTGATGATTATGTCAACGTTTTACATTACCATCATTCAACAATAAGATAGTACATATGTACTAACAAGATTTACATAAAATGAAACAAGTATGTCATTGACAATTTGTTCCCCCCCCCCCAGAGAGCTGAACTAAGCACCTCTAGCCAAAGAGTTGTGGCACAGATCCTCACCCCATGGTTTGCACATGCGTATGTTACATAATCTTACATATACAGTCTATAGGTATCTGTGCCAGGCACGTGTTTCTGGTCAATTGTTTAAAACAGTTTTAAACTATTCTAAAAAAAATACAAGGGAAAAAGTAAAAAAGTAAACCACACTTCCAACAAAGACGTTTACTATGAACTCATGTTTGTAGTAGAGCTTAATTGAGTCTCCTGGAAAAATTGATAAATGTGCTAGTCTGTTTTTACAATAACAGTGTGCTTGCGTACAATGGGCCAAATTTCTAATTCTAAAATAACACCATTCATGTTATTTGGATATATTGTACACAACATGAGAAATATGGGAATGGCACTGGGTAATGTCAATAAAACAATGAATGTTCATTTCATTGTTTGCATGGTGAAGGGATGTCATGTGAGATTTTACATAATTGAATTTCCTTAACAAACTCTCTAGAGCAACAAAGTCATTTTCCCTAGTTCCAAGTTTATTGTAAAAACTTTCTGTTGGTTGTAAATAAGATTTTGTTGAGCCACACAGTGTGCAGCAGAACGTTAGGTGTGCGGGGTCCAACTGTTGCATCTCTGTAGCACTAGAATGCTTACTAAACCACAAAAAATGACCCCCACCCCTCCTTCTGCTAATCAATATCCAATTCTGAAATAACTGACTGTTTCATACAGTAAATACAGGAGAAATAAACTTTCAAAAGACATAATACTGAAATATTTAACATATGTGAATGTATTACGGTGGAATAAGAATATATAGAGGAGGTTGAGAAAATCGGGGAATATTTAAAGGTTGATCTGGCCTGATATAATTATATTTCCACAGTAATATACAAACTTGTGTTGCTTACATCTTTTTTACAACATCAAAATGTAACCGAATGTTCTTTAGTGTCTAATTCAGTGTCTATGAATAAACATGACCCAAGTTACTAACTGGCCATGTACATGTGATGCCTCGTTTGCATGTCTCACCAACAAGCCGCTCAAAGCTTATGTCATTATTCCTGACAATGAAGCTAATTTTCCTGTCCTGACATTATAAAATGGGTGCATATCGGAGCAATTTGATATGCACATTCACATGTGTTCCCACACTTAACGGAGCTTCTTCGTCAGAGACAAGTTCACATGTGTTCCCTCACCTAACGGAGCTTCTTTGTCAGAGACAAGTTCAAATGTGTTCCCTCACTTAACGGAGCTTCTTTGTCAGAGACAAGTTCACATGTGTTCCCTCACTTAACGGAGCTTCTTCGTCAGAGACAAGTTCACATGTGTTCCCTCACCTAACGGAGCTTCTTCGTCAGAGACAAATTCACATGTGTTCCCTCACTTAACGGAGCTTCTTTGTCAGAGACAAGTTCAAATGTGTTCCCTCACTTAACCAAGCTTCTTCGTCAGAGACAAGCTCACATGTGTTCCCTCACTTAACCAAGCTTCTTCATCAGAGACAAGCTCACCCGTGTTCCCTCACTTAACCAAGCTTCTTTGTCAGAGACAAGCTTACATGTGTTCCCTCACTTAACCAAGCTTCTTCGTCAGAGACACGTTCACATGTGTTCCCTCACTTAACGGAGCTTCTTCGTCAGAGACAAGTTCAAATGTGTTCCCTCACTTAACGGAGCTTCTTCGTCAGAGACAAGTTCACCTGTGTTCCCTCACTTAACCAAGCTTCTTTGTCAGAGACAAGCTCACATGTGTTCCCTCACTTAACCAAGCTTCTTCATCAGAGACAAGCTCACCTGTGTTCCCTCACTTAACCAAGCTTCTTTGTCAGAGACAAGTTCACATGGTTGAATAGTCTTAAGTATTTAATTAAAGAAATAAAAACCTTGTATTAACATTACTAACAAAAAAGTATCATGATTACTTAAAACCAATTTAAAATAAGACAAAATCTATGACATTTCACTTGAAATGGAGATTTTCACATGCAATACAAGTAATATGGTACTTGTTTTTTTATGTATCGTTTTACGTCCCAACAACAGTTTGAGTTATTTATGGCCAATACCTTGGTACTACATGTAATTATAACATGACAATCAATCCTAAGGTCACACACAACAATACATGTATAATTTAATTGTTATCTTCAAGATTGTAGCCACATGTTTTCATTTTGGCCCATCGGTTTGCAAGGAAATATTTCAGGCAAAATGTCAATTTACAAATATGAAAGATGTTACATTGTGAAATGATATCTTTCAACCAATTGAGCAAGTTTTGTTGAAAAATAAAAAAAAAATACAGTTCACAGAGAAACCACTGCAAATTACACTATAACGGAAAATGAGAAATATGATCAAAGAAAGACATCAAAACATACACATGTAATGTCATAGGTGTTACATTTTTCCGATATTTGTGAAAATAAATTCGTGAAAATAATTGAAATATCAAGTTATCAAAGCTGAAGTTGCATGCATAAAACTCACTGCTTTTAAATACATATTTTGTTTTCTCCCTTTCTTAGTTAGCAGTATTGCTTACGTAACATCCCCACTCTTTAGTAAAACCTCTCTATAACAACAAGGGAGAGAGGCAGTCTGAAGTCTTTATCAGTCTTTATCAGTCTTTATAGACAGATAAACTCATTCACCCCTGAAGTTTCATAATGAACTATTCCAACCTTTGAATTGGAAGAGTTCAAATGTGTCTTCAGGGGTGAAGGAGTTCATATAAAGAGAACACTATTTTAAGATAGTAGTAAAAGGCAGGTGTCTTACATAAGCAATTGGTCATTAAAGACAGGTGCTCTTATAGACAAAAGGTTTTAATAGGTGACATTAAAAGAAAAGTTTATATAAAGAGAACACTATTTTGGACATTCTTAAGATGTTAGTACAAAATGTAAATGATATGTGTTCTAATGATCTAAATAAGCAATTTGTCATTTAAGACAATTGCTCTTTATAGACAAAATGTTTTCATAAACAGGTGACCTTAATAAATAAGTTGTTAAAATATAGAAGAATATCTTTTTGTGTGTTCCTAAGATGGCAGTAATAGACTGGGGGTCTTGATATGTAAACGGTATATAAAGGCAGTTGTTATCAACGGTAGGTGATCAGTTGGCTTTTGTGTATGTATTGATTAGTATGAGTCTATGCATGAGGTAGATTTCAATTAATACCAATAAAAAGAAAACATACTCGCATGCAAAATCTCAAACTCAAACACCAGACACATGTTAAATAGTAATTAAGTCTATGACAGGTTTAATTTACTTACTAGTAAAAAACATTTAAAATATCACATTCATGTCAATAACAGTAGCTGCTCCAAGATTGTTATAGCAATGTCTCTCTGGTTCATATGGGTCAAGTTTACCATTAGAAATCCCATAGACTTTCTTGTTAAAGTGTAATATCACACTCTGCTAGAGAGTCATCAGTACAATTAGAATTCCTTGTTTAGATATGACATACTATGGTGAAGGGTCATGGTTACTAGTAGAAATCCCATAGACTTTCTTGTTAAAGTGTAATATCACACTCTGCTAGAGAGTCATCAGTACAATTAGAATTCCTTGTTTAGATGACATACTATGGTGAAGGGTTATGGTTACTAGTAGAAATCCCACAGTCTGTAATGTTACATAACATCACACTGTGCTGGCACTAAACTGCATAACAAGAAACATTCAAAGGTATACTTTATGTCTAGAAAACCATTTTGTTGACAAACCTCTAACAATGAATGGTATGATCAACACTTACTAATATTTGCAAGTGAGAAAACTGAACGTAATGCAATGTTGTACAGTATATGATTGTGGTGCATGTTGCATATTTCGTTTTCAGGTTAAACATCTGGACAGACCGGATAATGTTCTAGGATTATTAAGAATATCAGAACAATCAACAGCTATTTAGGTTTGCATTTAAAATCTTCTCAAAAACAGATGATTTGTAAGATTTATTTTGCACAAAAATAGTCTTCATTTACCAGGTATATGATTTTTTTTTTAGTTTTCATAGCATAGCATTATCATATTTCTACAATAGGTTCTGTAAAAGTTTTGAATATTTTCCCTATGAAATCATATTTTCATTGTGACCATGACCACTACAGCATAATAAGAACCACCCTATACCAAATTGTTTTCATATGTTAGTTACCATAACATATCACAAGAAATCCGCCGAGGCTGATAAAAGGTACCACACTTATTGGGTATCTCTCCCAAGTGCTCTACTTCTGTGGTTGTACTATTTTACCGGTGCTTGTCACCATCGGCACCAAAGCTAGATTTTGTCCTGCTTTACGAGCTATAACAACATTTTCTACTTTTTTCTGGATTACTTTAGCACGAATCCGAGGATCGATGTCGGGTAGCTTTGGACAATCGCACTTATCCCGTATATCAATGACCTGCAAGGCAAAAAGACAATACTTATATACTTATGAAATATATACAGCAGAGGTGATCTAGACAGCAATGTAATGGCTACTTAATGGGTTATATCCATGTTGTTTAAGGTCATACTAGAGCGCTTAGTGACATCATGAGTACATGGTGTTTGTTGAGGTTATACAAAGTGATACTGGACTACTGATACCATGGTTACAGGATTTGTGAAAACCCTGTGTCTACTTACTGTTCTGATAACCCTGTGTCTACTTACTGTTCTGATAACCCTGTGTCTACTTACTGTTCTGATAACCCTGTGTCAACTACATGTACTGAGTACTAGGCGAGCTAAAAATTACAAATTGCCCATCTGGACAAATGTTGGTTAGCTAATAGATATGCAGGCCTCATGAAAGTCCCATTTTACTACCCAGAATTATCATATCTAACTTATCATTGGGGAACTATTCTCTAGGGGAAACACAACGTTTAATTCCACAGTTAACTTTCATTTTCAGACTTAGGTTGCCTTACAAGAGTCAGCTGTAGGGAATTTCCCTTTAGCTCAACGGTAGTGCATCAGGCTGGAGAGCCAGGGTCGCCGGTTCGAGCCCCAGCGACAGCACTATCTTTATCACTATATCTCGTCCTACTACATTATCACTATATCTTGTCCTACTACATTATCACTATATCTCGTCCTACTAAATTATCACTATATCTTGTGCTACTACATTATCACTATATCTTGTCCTACATTATCACTATATCTTGTTCTACTACATTATCACTATATCTCGTCCTACTACATTATCACTATACCTCGTCCTACTACATTATCACTATATCCCGTCCTACTACATTATCACTATATCTCGTCATACTACATTATCACTATATCTCGTCCTACTCCATTATCACTATATCTCGTCCTACTACATTATCACTATACCTCGTCCTACTACATTATCACTATATCTCGTCATACTACATTATCACTATATCTCGTCCTACTCCATTATCACTATATCTCGTCCTACTACATTATCTCTATATCTCGTCCTACTACATTATCACTATATTTTGTCCTACTGCATTATCACTATATCTCTTGCTACTACATTATCACTATATCTTGTCCTACTACATTCTCACTATATCTTGTCCTACTACATTATCCCTATATCTCGTCCTACTACATTATCACTATATCTTTTCCTACTACATTATCACTATATCTCGTGCTACTACATTATCACTATATCTCGTCCTACTAGATTATCACTATATCTCGTCCTACTACATTATCTCTATATCTCGTCCTACTACATTATCACTATATCTTGTCCTACTACATTATCACTATATCTTGTTCTACTACAAACAAGTCAAATGAAACAAGTTGTCAGTGTCTCCAAGTCCCAAGTTAGCGTAAGCGATTGGCAGAAAGTATAAGTGAACCAGGGTCATCTGTGATAGATATAGCTTACATAGGTGGTGTTGGTATTTGACCATCAGGATAAGTGGTGACAAAACAACTTTGCATTTTTCCGGCGCTTGTCAACAACGCGTAGTGATTTGAGTTGATGACAGGACTTTTTTTTAAATAGTTACATGATGATAGCAATTTGGCATGCTTTATTAAAAATATGAAGTAAAGTACCTACTGTATGAAAATGAATTATTAAAGGAATTTAATGATGACTTTTTACATTTTATTGAAATATTTGCAGATAACCTTGTATATACTACCTGTACTGATAACCCTGTATCTACTACCTGTACTTATAACCCTGTATCTACTACATGTACTGATAATGCTGTATCTACTACCTGTACTGATAACCCTGTATCAAATACATGTACTGATAACCCTGTATCTACTACCTGTACTGATAACCCTGTATCGAATACATGTACTGATTATCTGGCTTCTACTAAATGTTGTGATAACCCTATGTCAAATACATGTAATAATAACTCTGGGTCTACTACATAGTGATTACCCTGTGTCCTCTTTTATAATAATACTCATAATACTGTGTGTACTTCAAGTAGATAGTATACAAGGTAAGATAGGATAGGAAAGGATACACAATGTTACCTTTGGCATAAGCTGTTCCATGGTAGATACTCGATGTTCATTGGAGGGGTGTGTTGATGTAAATTCAAGACCTTTTGCTCCTGTCAGATCTCTAACCATCATCATTCTTTTCCACAGTACACTGCCTTCACGAACATCATAACACGCCTGCAAATTCACAATGAGTGTACATAGAAATGGTGCTATTATCTGTTCCAACAAGCTGTATGTGATTAAATACAAATTTTCAAAACTAGTATAATTTTCATAATTTTTAAATTAGATTTTACAAAATCTCCTAAGATTTGCTATAGGATGTTCTCCTGTTTAGGTGTCTTTTTGATCAGGTTCGGTCATAATTTTATATATATATAGTATGAAACATTAGCATTAACATTGGTTTGCACCGACTGTTGTGTGACAGAACGTTCCAAAAGTACTCTAAAAGATTCCAATATAAACAAAGGCAATTTTATACACATGTGCTGTAACACAATCATTTCACGCAATGACACAACTTGAAATCAAGGGTCAGCAGGCTCGTACCTTAGCTGCCATTTCCAGGCCTACCACATCAGCCTCCTCTTCCAACTCCCTGCTGAATGTCAAAGTGAAGGTGTACTAAAAGAAAGAATGCAGAAAGCTGTGTTATATTTAAGGAATGAAAATTATTTTTTCAACATTCATAAGGTCATAACAACATTGGCTTTCTGGACATATTTGCCATGAATCGATATGTCCAGAAAGCCAATGTTATTATGACCGACCTCATGAATGTTGAAAAAATCAATTTCATTCCTTATATTTACATTTGTAAATGCTTTAAATTTTCCAATGCAAGCATATATAAAAAAATATATTTATACATGAGGGGTAACGCAGTAGAGAGAACAGCGTGTTTTTGCAGGAAAAAGTAAAACTTTCCCAGGGTGTCCTAGCAACAGCATGACGACAAAACAATAAATATAGTTCCATTTTCGAAATTTGATTCGTAGATTTTATATAAGTCAAATATTATTATAATATACTTGACACACCTCATCTTAACTTTAAAATTCATATTACATTATATAGCATAACAAAACTACTTCAAGGGCTGTTTCACGGCAGACATGAACCAAATATGCCCTGTGCTATGTAAGTTATTTTCGTCAATGGGTCCAAGCATACAGAATTTAATATATACACAAATAACATACATTTTAAAATGTTTTTCCCATTGTTTAATGTGTGAACATTTTTTTTTTTTTTTTAAATTATTTTTTATTATCATTATCATTAAATTTCCATTTTAATTTATTACATATTCTATTTTACAATATCTCAAGGGAGATAAATCATGATAAAACGTTTGAGGGAGATTATCTGAATTTACATAGCTGGAAGTGGGAACACAAATCAATATTAAACCAAGAATCCAGGTCAATATCTTTTTCTTATCTATATACTTACATGCATGACTTTTTCCATGAAATACTGAGTTATAATGGCGATTCCATCAGATGGTATCATTGTCCAGATGGCTGTCATGAAAAAGATGATACAGTAGTCGAGAAACTGGCTCTTGGAGAGAGTCTCGATCTGTGGCAGAATAGTTAAAACTTGTGTCAGCCGTACATGTAACAATAAATCTTCCTGGTAGTGGAGTATATATTTAATTTATTCTTAGAGAAATGATAGGAAATAAGTCTTTTTAACTGTATTCTCATCCTGATAAATACCTGTTGCTTTCTACTGACTCAGCTAGGGAGATTGTTTCTTTAGCTAAATCAGTAGAGCATCAGACCATTTACTGAAATCACTCTGAAAATGTTTAAGTTTTATTCAAAAACTTTCCCTGAACATTTTAAATTGTGTAAAAAGTACCAAGACATTGAGGGTATGTTTTTAAATTTATGAACAAAAGACAAAATGAATAGTGTGATTAAAATACTATTAAATTTGTTACAATTACAAATACATTTGGGCTAAGGGGCTATAACAGCTGTGGTGTTTGGTACTACCTTCAGTTTGATTTGGCTATCTGGTAAGCAAATATAGGTCAAGTATCAGTTGTTGCTGGGCGAGCCAAGTAACTTAAAGGGAACAATATTGATGAATTTAATGTAAACTGATCATTCTTGTGGAATTTACGAATTACATAATGATGTAAAATGCCCAATTTGCTGCAGATCGGGGTGCCTCAACCCTTAATATGGGGAGGTATGATTCATTCATGCTCGCAAACAGCTGGCAAGTGTTTACTTACTTAAAATTGCCTCATTGAAATTTAGAACAGCTGCTATGACCCAAGGCATCACCTGTAATGGTATGTGGGGTGTGGATGGTGGTTGAACATGAAATGTTAGGTGCAAATTAAAACTCTGGAAATACTGATGACTGCAGAAAGTGACCAATCACATGACTGAACTGACTAACCCCTGACATGCTAACATCTTCCACAAGATGACCAGTCACCTGACTGAGACTGATTATTCAGATCTACCGATGCCTGGTCAACTTCTGGTAGTGTGCAAGACAATGTAGACTTGTCTTAGTACATAAACCACACTTATATTTCAATAAGTTTTAACTTATATATCATGCATACTAGTACCACTGGTATCTCAATCTCTATCCAGAGTTGTCTTTCCTTACACTGACACTCTTTGGGTAGAGATTGCCTGGTATCCATGAATCCCTTCATAGTAATACTTACCGCATGAGAACAAACTGCATGCGCCATTTCATGAGCAAATACCACAGCCAGTTGGTCCTCATTTTCAATCAAATTTAACATTGCCGTTGTGAAGAAAACATGGCCAGTCTGCAATTAAATAATAAGGAAGTAGTTATGGTGAAAGTTGAGTAAAAATAAATGATATCTGTGACTCAAATGGAAATGCTAAAATAATTCATATTGATGCCATCTACTAAACATGTCTAAATTCAATAAAAAGAACAGTCTTATCAAAAAGGTATGGAAACTGAAATTTTAGGTTATATAAACCCTGTTAATCAAATCATCTGATTACTAAATTGGTTGTCCCACAATCAAGTCACCACTAATCTGGTTGTCCCACAATCAAGTCAACACTAATCTGGTTGGCCCGCAATCAAGTCACCACTAATCTGGTTGTCCCACAATCAAGTCACCACTATTCTGGTTGTCCCACCATCAAGTCACCACTAATATGGTTGTCCCACAATCAAGTCACTACTTATCTGGTTTTCCCACAATCAAGTCACCACTAATCTGGTTGTCCCACCATGAAGTCACCACTAATTTGGTTGGCCCTCAATCAAGTCAACACTAATTTGGTTGGCCCTTAATCAAGTCACCACTAATTTGGTTGTCCCACAATCAAGTCACCACTAATCTGGTCGTCCCACAATCAAGTCAACACTTATCTGGTTGGCCCTCAATCAAGTCACCACTAATCTGGTTGTCCCACCATCAAGTCACCACTAAATTGGTTGTCCCACAATCAAGTCACCACTAATCTGGTTGTCCCACAATCAAGTCACCACTAAATTGGTTGTCCCACAATCAAGTCACCACTAAATTGGTTGTCCCACTATCCAGTCACCACTAAACTGGTTGACCCACTATCCAGTCACCACTAATCTGGTTGTCCCACCATCAAGTCACCACTATTCTGGTTGTCCCACCATCAAGTCACCACTAAATTGGTTGTCCCACAATCAGGTCACCACAAATCTGGTTGCCCCACATTCAAGTCACCCCTAATCTGGTTGTCCCACAATCAAGTCACCACTAAATTGTTTTTCCCACAATCAAGTCACCACTAATCTGGTTGTCCCACAATCAAGTCACCACTATTCTGGTTGTCCCACAATCAAGTCACCACAAATCTGGTTGTCCCAAATTCAAGTCACCACTATTCTGGTTGTCCCATCATCAAGTCACCATTATTCTGGTTGTCCCACCATGAAGTCAACACTAATCTGGTCGTCCCACAATCAAGTCACCACTATTCTGGTTGTCCCACCATCAAGTCACCACTAAATTGGTTGTCCCACAATCAGGTCACCACAAATCTGGTTGCCCCACATTCAAGTCACCACTAATCTGGTTGTCCCACAATCAAGTCACCACTATTCTGTTTGTCCCACCATGAAGTCACCACTAATTTGGTTGGCCCTCAATCAAGTCAACACTAATTTGGTTGGCCCTCAATCAAGTCAACACTTATTTGGTTGTCCCACAATCAAGTCACCACTAATCTGGTCGTCCCACAATCAAGTCACCACTAATCTGGTTGTCCCACCATCAAGTCACCACTAATCTGGTTGTCCCACAATCAAGTCACCACTAATCTGGTTGTCCCACAATCAAGTCACCACAAATCTGGTTGTCCCACAATCAAGTCACCACTATTCTGGTTGTCCCAAAATCAAGTCACCACTATTCTGGTTGTCCCATCATCAAGTCACCATTATTCTGGTTGTCCCACCATGAAGTCAACACTAATCTGGTTGTCCCACAATCAAGTCACCACTATTCTGGTTGTCCCACAATCAAGTCACCACTATTCTGGTTGTCCCATCATCAAGTCACCATTATTCTGGTTGTCCCACCATGAAGTCAACACTAATCTGGTCGTCCCACAATCAAGTCACCACTATTCTGGTTGTCCCACCATCAAGTCACCACTAAATTGGTTGTCCCACAATCAGGTCACCACAAATCTGGTTGCCCCACATTCAAGTCACCACTAATCTGGTTGTCCCACAATCAAGTCACCACTATTCTGGTTGCCCCACCATCAAGTCACCACAAATCTGGTTATCCCACAATCAAGTCACCACTATTCTGGTTGTCCCACCATCAAGTCACCACTAATCTGGTCGTCCCACAATCAAGTCACCACTAATCTGGTTGTCCCACCATCAAGTCACCACTATTCTGGTTGTCCCACCATTAAGTCACCACAAATCTGGTTGTCCCACTATCCTGTCACCACTATTCTGGTTGTCCCAATATCAAGTCACCACAAATATGGTTGTCTCACCATCAAGTCACCATTAATCTGGTTATCCCACTATCCAGTCACCACTTATCTGGTTGTCCTACTTTCAAGTCAGCACTAATCTGGTTGTCCCACTATCCATTCACCACAAATCTGGTTGTCCCACTATCCAGTCACCACTAATCTGGTTGTCCCACAATCCAGTCACCACAAATCTGGTTGTCCCACTACCCAGTCACAACAAATCTGGTTGTCCCACTACCCAGCCACTACAAATCTGGTTGTCCCACAATGGCAGCTACCACAAATCCGGTTGTCCCTCTATAATCCAGCTTCAACTAATCTGGTTGTCTTACAAACTAGCCACCACTAATCCTGTTGTCCCATTATACAGCTACCATTAATCGGGTTGTCCCTCTATCAAGCTACAACTAATCTGGTTGTCCTACAAACTAGCCACCACTAATCATGTTGTCCCACTATCCAGCTACCATTAATTGGGTTGTCCCTCTATCAAGCTACAACTGATCTGGTTGCCCCTCTATCCAGCTATAACTATAATCTGGTTGTCCCTCTACAATCCAGCTACAACTAATCTTGTTGTCCCTTTATCCAGCTACCACTAATCTGGTTGTCCCACTATCTAGCCACAACTAAGCCCTTAAGGCAATTAAAACTGTTACCAAGTTTGATGAAAATCTGTTAACATTTGTTGCAGTTATTGCACAGAAACAAAGCGTGACAGACAGACAGACAGACAAACCCAAATTAGTATCCCCGGTTTCGGTGAAAGCGGGGGATAACAAAAAAACAAAACAAAAACAACCAAAAAACAAATGAAATTCCGGACTCACTTTTGTCAAATTCCTTTCTTCTGTTATCATTTTAACAGTAGATCTTTGTAAAGTATTTAAAAACAATAATTGAGGATTATGTATCTATATGATATGAAGATTTTCAACTCTCAGGTTTACAATTCTTTGTCAAAGACATGGATTCCCGAATCCCTTTCTCTGTTGAAACATTGCTATCTGGATTCCTGCATCATCACTATGGAAACATCTTGAAGATATTTTTAACTTACTGGGAGGACAAAAGCATTGAGTGCTGAATCTTCAACAATCGACAGTTTCCACTTCAACTCTGTCAGTATTGGCAGGTCCTGATTTGCTATTAACAGTCGCTTAGCAACGCGTAGCAACGGCTGGTAGAGAGGATGTGTGGCCGGTAACCTGCTATCCTTGTACTGTTCCATGTGCTGAAACACATCAAAAGTACAATAATACTTATTTTATGATTTTCATGAGATTCCTGATATTTAGTACAATTATATATCACTACATTCTTTGTGACTTTCGTCTTTTTAACAGGACCATTTAATTTTCAGAAATGGTGTAATATGTGTCATCAGTTTACTTATGATAAAGTTAAAGTCTGACTTACAAGTTACAGCTTGTTTGAGTATATCACAGAATTATATATACAAGTAAATTCCTATAACGTAGTATAAACATAATAAGTTGTATTTGATATTGAGGATGATGACCTACCTGTTCTGACTGACCTTGAGAACCTATATTAAAGAGAGGATGATGACCTACCTGTTCTGACTGACCTTGATAACCTATATTAAGGGAAGATGATGACCTACCTGTTCTGACTTACCTTGAAAACCTGTATTATAGAGAGGATGATGACCTACCTGTTCTGTGTGAGCTTGAGAACCTATATTATAGAGAGGATGATGACCTACCTGTTCTGTGTGACCTTGATAACCTATATTATAGAGAGGATGATGACCCACCTGTTCTGTGTGAACTTGAGAACCTATAGTATAGAGGGGATGATGACTTACCTGTTCTGACTGACCTTGAGCACCTGTATCATAGAGAGGATGATGCCCTACCTGTTCTGACTGACCTTGATAACCTATATTAAGGGAAGATGATGACCTACCTGTTCTGACTTACCTTGAAAACCTTTATTATAGAGAGGATGATGACCTACCTGTTCTGTGTGAGCTTGAGAACCTATATTATAGAGAGGATGATGACCTACCTGTCATGACTGACCTTGAGAACCTATATTAAGGGAAGATGATGACATATCTGTTCTGACTGACCTTGAGAACCTATATTATAGAGAGGATGATGACCTACCTGTCATGACTGACCTTGAGAACCTATATTAAGGGAAGATGATGATCTACCTGTTCTGACTTACCTTGAAAACCTATATTATAGAGATGAGGATGACCTACCTGTTCTGTGTGACCTTGAGAACCTATATTATAGAGATGGTGATGACCTACCTGTTCTGTGTGACCTTGATAACCTATATTATAGAGATGAGGATGACCTACCTGTTCTGACTGACCTTGAGAACCTATATTATAGAGAGGATGATGACCTACCTGTTCTGACTGACCTTGAGAACCTATATTATAGAGAGTATGATGACATATCTGTTCTGACTGACCTTGAGAACCTATATTATAGAGAGGATGATGATCTATCTGTTCTGACTGACCTTGAGAACCTATATTATAGAGAGGATGATGACATATCTGTTCTGACTGACGTTGAGAACCTATATTATAGAGAGGATGATGACCTACCTGTTCTGACTGACCTTGAGAACCTATATTATAGAGAGGATGATGACCTACCTGTTCGGACTGACCTTGAGAACCTATATTATAGAAAGGTTGAAGACCTATCTGTTCTGTGTGACCTTGAGAACCTGTATTATAGAGAGGATGATGACTTACCTGTTCTGACTGACCTTGACAACCTATATTATAGAAAGGATGATGACCTACCTGTTCTGACTGACCTTGAGAACCTATATTACAGAGAGGATGATGACCTATCTGTTCTGACTGACCTTGAGAACCTGTATCATAGAGAGGATGATGCCTACCTGTTCTGACTGACCTTGACAACCTATATTTTAGATAGGATGATGACCTACCTGTTCTGTGTGACCTTGAGAACCTATTTTATAGAGAGGATGATGACCTTCCTGTTCTGACTGACTTTGAGAACATATATTATAGAGAAGATGATGACCTACCTGTTCTGACTGACCTTGAGAACCTATATTATAGAGAGGATGATGACCTATTTGTTCTGTGTGACCTTGAGAACCTATAGTATAGAGAGGATGATGACTTACCTGTTCTGACTGACCTTGAGCACCTGTATCATAGAGAGGATGATGACCTACCTGTTCTGACTGACCTTGATAACATATATTATAGAGAAGATGATGACCTACCTGTTCTGACTTACCTTGAAAACCTGTATTATAGAGAGGATGATGACCTACCTGTTCTGACTGACCTTGAGAACTCATTTATTATTGAGGATGATGACCTACCTGTTCTGTGTGAGCTTGAGAACCTATATTATAGAGAGGATGATGACCTACCTGTTCTGACTGACCTTGATAACCTATATTATAGAGAGGATGATGACCTATCTGTTCTGTGTGACCTTGAAAACCTATATTATAGAGAGGATGATGACCTACCTGTTCTGACTGACCTTGAGAACCTATATTATAGATAGGATGATGACCTACTTGTTCTGTGTGACCTTGAGAACATATATTATAGAGAGGATGATGACCTATCTGTTCTGTGTGACCTTGAGAACCTATATTATAGAGAGGATGATGACCCACCTGTTCTGACTGACCTTGAGCACCTGTATCATAGAGAGGATGATGACCTACCTGTTCTGACTGACCTTGATAACCTATATTAATGGAAGATGATGACCTACCTGTTCTGACTTACCTTGAAAACCTGTATTATAGAGAGGATGATGACCTACCTGTTTTGTCTGACCTTGAAAACTCATTTAATATTGAGGATGATGACCTACCTGTTCTG